CCATGGGGCTTTTAGGATCAGCATGGGAACACCATAGGGTTTTTATACTCTACATGGGAATACAATGTAATTTGTATGCGGACACCATGGAAACGTCACACAAACACTATTCAAATTTTTGCAATCATCAAGAAAACACTGGGATTTGCATTGATGTGGCATCTACACAGGTACACTTAGAGGCTTTGTTGTATTGTAAACCACAGTAGCTGCTGGCATTAAAATGCATTGGCACGAACTACAGTACACAGTGTGGAATGGAATGTTGATTCGATGACTGCAACTTTACCCGTCACCAGGACACCAGATGCACAGGACACTGACCATGGGATGCATGGGACAATCACCATTGGATGTGCGGGAAAATCACCAATGAAATATTTAAAATATAAAAAATATGAAATATGGGAATATTTTGCGAGATTACATGGGGTTCTTGAAATACGCATGGGCAAAATCCCACGCTACATGGTGGCAAATTCACCATGTAATCCCATGGGAAATTTTCCCATCGGATACTCTCATGGGACATTTTTGTAAGGGTTATGGCAACGCAATTATTACAACGTGGAAATTCATAAAGGAACGAGTTTCTTACGTAAAAGGGAAGATTGAAGGAAACCCATTTTTGAAATTATAGTCCGATTTTAATTTTAAACAGAGAAAAATAACCCTTGCTTCGTCTTGGCAATTCTATGAAAGCTCGTTATCGAAGTTTTAGTGTAGGTGCCGAGTTGGCGGGTGCCGTGCTGGCAAGGTGCCGAAGTGACCAATTACCCTGAGAAAACACACGGGCCTGTCGAAAACATCATCCCGATCGAATCCAGGTGTTGACGCGAGACTGCAAAAATGATGCTTCTAAGTTCATCTATGCAATATGGTCTTTGCTTGGACCAAGTTTCATTTTGTGAAGTGACCAAATTCTTTACCATTCTGGCAGTTGAAAAATGTGTAAAAAACCTAAACATTCTGCTGATGAAATCATAATACCAGAATCACTTTAGATTCCATTCCTGTGGGAGCCCATCACACTCATCAAGCACAGTTTAATGTGAATACATGCACACCTTTTGACATGTCACAGTGCTCTGTTGGTGAAACATATATAACATAGGCTACATGTACGCGTATTCCCTGTGTAAGGACAGGATGAAAGCGTGGTCATGGCTTTGATTCCGGTCACCGGATATAAATGTAGTCTGTGATACATCCAGGTTTGGGTCCATGTCGAGTGTCATTGGAGACGGACCTCCGATTCTGGATATACTGGCCTGAGAAATTTCGAGTTTATGGGCCTGCAGCGACTTGATCTTGATGACCATGGGTGGAATCTCGGGGATGGGCACCTCCCTCATTTTTTAAACTAGAGGATTACCAATATGGCCCCCTACACTTCTCTGGCACTGATTATACCTTCCCCTAATCGAAGTAGGACCCTGCCATGTTCAGCTCTGCAGAAGAACGATCTTTCAGAACTCATCCCTCCAACGTAACAAGAAATCTCCGTCCAAGATAATCACGCTATGATCTCACTCAAATCTTCAAATGACAGTTTAAGTATTTATCACATTTGGGGTTCAAAAGAAACAATGTGCGCTTATAACAAAAGCCCGCATATTGGGTTTACACGTGTATTTGTTTTATAGGATTTCAGTCTTTGCATTTTTAACGTTTATATATATATATTTCCCTATTCCTTAATTAACCAGTTGGAGAACCCCTCGACAGAAACTTTAAGGTAATCCAGCGTGAGCTGGTTAAATACTGTGTTTATGTTTTGTATCAAAATGTTTAAATGTAAGTTTGTAAGTTTTAAATGTATGTTTTTAGTGCAAGTCACGTATATTCGCTACCGAAATTTTGTTTTCTTGTTTTCGGGCGGTTTGAGCAACGAAAGTAAACGAACTTTTCTAATACTGATAAATATATGGTGATTGGGCTACAAAAGTTTATCATTTAAATTCAAAGTGAAAGTTTTACTTTAAATGTGAGGATTCTTGTTTGAACATTTCAAATGTGCTTGGAATTATCAAAATTGTGGTTTTTAAACTGTAACTTTTTCCTTCTAAAAATGGCCCAAACCACCTTTTTTTCTTTATTTCACTCAAATACTGCATTTTTCTGGGAAAAGAACACATGTTCGTGTGTAGTTTAGATGTTGATCAAGCTTCCTTTTAACTTTCATCACGGCAACTTCATTAGATTGTTTTTAAATTGCAAATCGATGTAGTACGGGATAGTGGCATATTTTGCACTGTACGACGTCATGTTTTCCGATTTCCTTCAATTACATCACACAAATGCTGTTTTGATGAACTTCAAACCCCTGAAGTTGAGTAATTGAATAAGTTGTCCACATGAAATGCCTAATAAACCATTTTGGGAATATTCTACATATTTTGTTAAGTGTCCCACTGTTGTGTTCAGTCGATATCACTGCGCATTAGTATGTACAATTTGAGGTGAAAAAAAATTCACAGCCGAGTGGAAGGGGGAAGAGGAATTAAGTCACCAGACATGTACCGGTACATGTGTACACAACTGTGGCTTTAACCCTGTCCTGGTTCACCATCATGATCATACAGCTCAACATAACATATGCTGCCTTGTCATGGCATGAGACTTTCAAGATATTTAATAACTGCAAACATACTTATCCAATGTGACCAGTCCACTCTTGTTAACATCATTATGAGCATGCATTTGTTGATTGTACATGACAAACATTAGTGCACCGCTGCCATGAGAGCAGGACATGTATTGCTATCAAGTGTCTCAAAAGTCTTCTATTTGTTGAATACATTTTGTTTGTATAAACCTGTATAAAGTTGTCATGGGTCATCTGCAGCTATATACATAGTGTAAAAGAAGAACTTTAATTGCCAGTATATCAGAACTAACTATCTGTGAACTACCCGCAACTGGCAGGAATCTATGTTATAAAGTTTTCACTGTCAACTAATAAATTATGACTGGGATTGTTTGATGTACATCACCTTACAATTCACCTTCAAATATTAGTCAGAACAGGTTTTAAATAATGAGGATGGATCCACATGTTCTGTTCAGAGACAACAATTTTAGGCAGGGTTGTTGATTTTTTTTTAAATAAGAAACATCAGATTTTTAAAATTTAAATCAGATTTTTTATGTTTATAAAAATGTGAGATAAGTTGGCTCAAACGTCTATTCAAAAGCAAGCATATTAGTTGCATGTGTAATAGTTTTATTTGTTTTGTGACAAAATTAAACAAATTTGAACTTAAATTAAGAAAGTTAAATCAAGGAATTTGATTAAATTCACAAACCCCCATGTCTCAGCCTTGGTGAAATTAACACGGTATAACACCTGCCAGTACATGCACCCTTAGAGAAGACACTTCCTTGAGAGACAAGTACGTGCACACATACCAAGGATAAAGTGCATATCAGGTTTGAAACTTAACTCTTAAGTTTAGACAAAAGTAGAGTTCACAAGAATTTGTTAATAGGGTACTTATACATGCATAAAATGACCGAGTGAGAAACATGCCATGAACATCATGTATGCACTTATTTTGTATGCTACAGGTGTAGGTACAAAATGCTAGTATTTTACCTTGCTTTATGTATAAAAAGCAGTCTCATTTTGTTTGTGATCCAGCTTCAAAGAGCAATGACTTAGGCTTGATTAGAAATCACGCTATAATGGCCAACATTTCTAATCTCAATAAAATACATGTATACATGTACTTGTAGAGATGTAAAAGGTTAATGTGTACTGATACTTTACCATGTTAAACCATGGAGGAGTTTAAACTGCCCAGGCTATAACATCTGGCCAATTACCGCTTTCCGGCGTGTCCGGTACATCCATAGCCAGAGCGCATTGGATGCTTGCTACGCACCATCTGTTTCACAACCATAAGCACCTTTTATACCCTATGATCATCACCGCAATTTTTTGCTGGTAATCTGCATCCTTAAAATGTTGTGCCCTGAAGTACAGGAAGTTTAATATTCATGCAACCGATGATGCTTGGTATGATCTGAAAACAATATCACATATAATGCTAGGAATAGGTATCTTAAACAATTGTCCCTTTTGGCGTTCCATACATGTACAATATGATCTGCTGTCTGCAGCACGTGGTCGGCATTTTGCCAGGTCCCGAGTATATGGCATACGCATGGTGCGCCGTCTATGTTGCAGGCAGATATTGGGCGTCCACACACACTCAATAGCATGTGCCCAGCATGCGAATTGGATTTTCGAGTTGGCAATTTATATTTTAGGGGTTTTTGTCGACGGCGCTTCACATATGTGAAAAAGTACATCAGTTATGCACTTCATGAAGCTGACTTCAATGTTTAAGCTGTCATCTCATGCACAATTCACGCTTATATCTCTTATGGTTGATTTTTTACCGAATTTTGAAGAATAAAAGAAGTTTTTATTGTAACTTCTGGTCTGATCACGTCATCAGCCCCAAACTTTATACACGTTGACTGGGTAAAAATGGTCATGTACATCATTTTTCAGGCGATTCGGACAAACTTCGCCACAGACATCTATTCAAAATTCATTTTTCGTAATTTTTAACCTGTGCTAGAGGGCGCTCGACAATTACGTGACGTCATCAGTGGATGATTTGAAGAATACTATGACCCAACAGACTAAAACCGTTGAAAACAACTTGATACCTATTACCACTTTTAAACAATAAGGCCACTTCCGGTTTCGACTGGAAGGAAGGGTCACATGATATGACCCCCACAAGATGAATTCAAGACCACATTTTATCCTGGCACTTGCTGCAAACAGGATATTGCGGGAGGCCACAGTTGATTTTATATGGATTTTTATACATTTAGCTGAATATATAAATATTCAAAATTTAATAATAAATCACTGGATGACGTCATCATGACGTAAATATTTCAGAATTATCTTTGTTTTATAGTTAGTGCTTGCTGTAAATTTGACGATGATCAACGATTACTAAGGTAGGAAAATAGCGCCTCGAAAACGTGTACAAAGTCAATGGGCTCAAATAAAATAAATTGCTTGATGATGTCATTATAACATCATGTTTCTAGGACCATCTGTGCATAAGGGTTCTTCATCGGCATAAGTTTGATGAAAATCCTAAGTTGTGGCGGTGACAAAAAACGTTTACAAAACAAACAGGCTTTTGAGCAGAAGAAGAAGAAGAAGCCAAAAAAAAAAAAAAAAAGAAGAAAAAGAAGGCCTTTTTTCGCAAAATTGCAAAAAAGCCAATTAGGGTAGTGTCATTTCAATTACAATGTTCACATTTATTAACAAAGCAGTTGGCTCTCAATCTTGAAAAAAATGAGCTGATAGATGCAAAAAAATTATTAGTCTTCCAGACAGTATCACCAATGATCTGAGTGGAATTCGACACAAGTGTTGAAATTGGACACTACGTGTTAGTAAGGTAAAAACATGGAAAATGACGAAAATGGGTCCCAAAGAAAAATGGGGGTGAATTTCAAAAAAACTATTTTTTTTTTACTAGTCTTTCATGTGGCATCAAAGTTATTTGATGGTAAACTCGGCAAAATTGTGAAAATTAGACACAAAGCTTCGTAAAAAAAACTGATAATTTTTCATGATCATATTTTGTCATAAAATCAACCTTGTCACTTTTTAAAATTATTTTCCAGCGATCTTTTTTACCAGAAGCTATTAAATATCATCAATTGATAGCCTCTCAGCAATTTATTCACACACGAGGTCTTCAAGGGAAATGGCAGGACAAATCCCTCACATGGGTCACCACTGATATGTGTTGTCTGCTAGAATAACTTTTTCATTATGCCACTAATGCGCATGCGCGAATACACAGGCTAAATGCATGCACAGTCTATGGGGACCGAACATACGTGGGGTACACAGGAATGTGATATATGATTTTAGGAGACACTATTTGTGTGTATTTGTATAATGTAAACTTACATTTTAAATTAGGGGCACAGATATAGAACAGGGGAATTATTTTTCCATTCTACATTCCATGATATTAGTGGGTCACCGTACTCATTGAAATTTTCAGTTCTAAATGCCTTTCAAACACTTCTCTTTTCCTCACTGGGGGGCAATAAATCTTTGCTTTTGTTGACATTTGCCCTGAATGTTGAATTTCTGTTCCTGCAAGCCTGACAAAGTTTACTAAGATATTTCCGGTCCAAGCTTCCCATCAATAATCGTGTTCACCATAAGTTGCCTGTATTCGAATTACAGTGCAACTGGTATCGCTAGTATCCATACCAAAGGCAACAGTGAGAACAGCAATATTCATTTGAGTACAACTATGCCTTGTTTCGATACTAAGAGCAAGAATCGAGACTATTTGATTTGAAAATGACACTCAGCCCTTTGCAAAAAGAGTGTTGTGGCTATGGTGGAATGTCAGGAAGATTTTTCAGAACCTTTACTATGTTATGGCTTGGTGCATTACGCAAGGAAAACTCAATATGGAGAGATATCAGTGAAGACATTTTTGCTATCAAATTCGCATTTTTTTAAATTTTGGTCATGGTTAGTGAGTCAATAAAATCACATTTTAATTATTTGCACTTGTCTATTTTCTTCCCTGAATTTCATGCAAGAAACACACCCTACTCTTTACATATACATACTTTTTCTTTTAAATAACCATAGTTTGGTGAAAATCCTTGTTTTTTCACTGTTCAATTTTTATAGACAGCCACAAAATGCATTGTCTGCTCACGCCAAAAAACGCTGCTGTCTGCAGCAGTTACGTACTGACCATGCACAACTGTTCTAAATCAACTAAATTTCCATCTGGCAATGGGACGCCAACATATGTGAAGCATATCGCAATAAATGAAATTACACAACAATAACAGTGGCCCCACTTGTCCAGGACAAGTTTCAGTATACTCATCTTCAAAAAGGATTTCTGACTGTTTTTATACATTCCAGCAGAGAGTAAACGTACAAAAAAATTAAGTCTAAGTAAAATTTATTGCTCGGATTTTTAAGTTTCATCAGTTCAATGTACATACAGTCATATGCCAAGTTGTAAAGAAAAATGAACTTGATTTGTGTGATTAAAAATCGAAAGTGTTGCTGTGCATTTTATCAGTCGGAAAAGAAGTATGTGCCTTTGACAAAACACTGAATGAATAGTCCAGAGAATGCAGTAAATATTATCCTACAATTTCTTAATTTGTGTTTGATCCAAAAAAAAAAAAGTCATGACGTTTTAGCTCTAACCACTTCCTGCTAGGGCATTCATCAATGTTGATGATACTGGGGCGGAATATTTATCATTTCTTTCTGTTTTCAAAATTCTTAAAAAATTGCTATCGTTTACTGGAAACTTACAAACACGTGAAGGCATGTCTGGTTTCCACTCTAGCCAGACAGACAAAATCTATTGACACCCGAGTATTTCAGCCAGGCCTGCAGCCTTGTAAAAAGAGATAAGATTGTGCGGTGTTATGTAAGTTTCTTTTGTTCACGAACAAGGCTCAGTGCGCCGCTGACCTCTTTTCAATAGGGGTCAGATTAGCATGCAGCGGTGCTGTGTGGCTCATGGCTGCGGAGCGCTTTTGTCCCTGGTGGTAATCCACTGGCTCGAAATGCCCCAAACCGTGGTATACTGTTTCAAAACAAGGCAGGATTATCTCGACTTTTGAGAGTGAAAAATGTCGGTAATGCCTAGCAGCCTGGTCTTTTGTTCGGAGTACGGTCTTTTGTTACAAGGCCCTGTTCCCTTTGTCCCAGTTCAGAGACCCCGGCCACGCATATAAAGCATGCGTGTCCGGATCCGGAGTCCCCGGCAGGAAGTGGTTAATTCATATTGTACTAAGTATGTCAAAAGTTATCTTTTTGACTTATTATGGCATAATACATCAAACAATCGATTGCTTTACATCTTGTTGCCCCTAATGGAATGAATAATACATTATATGCACTTACATGTACATGTAGGTACAACCAAGCACAATATGCTACATGTACATATCACAAAAGCTAGCATTTGCTCAATATTGGTCATGTTGTACATGCTGTGACAAATACTAAAAGTGTCTTTGAGAGTCCAGCAGTGCAAACAGTGAGGATATAACTACAAGTACAATGTATTTCTACCACATGCGTTGATGCACTTTAGAATGGAGTTTTTACATGTACAAACCTTTCCAGTTAAATTACATGTGAAAAGTTTACACGTTCAGTGCCACTGCAAACACTGCAGAACTCTAGCTCCACAGTTTGTCCATTGGGTTTGGTAAGTCTCCATCAATAGTATCTTCTGCGATTGGTAGAACCAGATGATGGATATCTTCAATGCCCTGACTTCCATCAAGAACCTGTCGAAAGGAATTGGAAATGTATGAAATTCAATTAGAACTGAAGTCTATGACAACATTTTTTACAGTAAAAATGTCATTTTGATGCTACTTGAAGGAACCAGGAAATACCTGTAGAAAAGAATTTTATAAATTTTACTAAAACCCTTGAAATTGCATCTTTGCGTTTCAATTAACCTGATTTTAAATTTTATTTTTTCAATTTTAACCCATATTTTGATTTTTTTTGTTTTTATGCTGATGCATATTTGCATATTCATGAGCAGAACTATGATGTCATCCAAAGCACTGAATCTCAATGTTGCACTTATTTGTGCACAGAAAATTTCTAGATTTTTTAATCACTGCTATGGCAGATTTTATTTTCTTTGGCAATTCATTGCTGTGTAAGTATGTGACAATAATCCAGCAAAAATCCTTTGCACAGAAATGTTCCCAGATAGCAAATTTGGGGTTCAAAATTTTTTTAACATGAAAACATGCAACCTGAACCATGTCTTCCTGGATTTACATCAAAGGAAAAGCGCCCTTACTTGTCCAGCAATGATTGGTCAATTTTTAATGTTTGAAAAAGTGCACCGTTCAGTTCATGTAACTCAAAAAAGATGTCAAACCGTCTTCATACATGGAAGAAGAGTACAGAGATACACAAAAAGTTATTCTATGAAAAATTCATTTCCTGGATCTTTTAAATTCATAAAACACTGCACAGATTAATTATAACTGAATACAGTGTGGGAAATGGTATGCAGCTGCACATGTCACCCCATTGACCTAACATGCATTTATTGCAAAAGTAAACTAGGGAACCACATCAATAAAAGACACACACACGTACTTACATCCAAAATACGTAACAATTACAAACCTAGTTGCAAAAAAAGGTGGCTTATTTCCGTTTGGGGCCTTAAGAACACAAGTTAGCATATACAATACAAAATGATATAGAACATTGCTTGGGAAGTAGTAAATGGGATAGATAAGCTTGCCTGCACGCTGATGATCGGCTGCCAAGGGCTAGTCTGCGAGCTCTGCGGAGTTCGCGGACGGTCAAGTTTGAAAGAACCCTTAAACCATTTAATAACTAGACTGAAAAGAGAGATGGCTTTTCACTGCTTTTTCAAATTGATAGTAATCGTTGCAGTATCTGATCCCATCAGGTAATAAGTTCCATTCAGGAATTTCAGTACAAAAATGTATTGCACTCTGGTCCTCTTATTCTAGGAACTACAAAATTGATAAAACTACCCCTGGTAGAAGGACAATGCATGTCTGAAACCTTTCTAAATTTATCACTGACATAGTCCGGTGCCATTTCATGATAAATTTTACATACATACCGTAGTTGAGCTTCAGCTCTGTAACATGGTCAGCAATGTTCAACCCGCCAAGTTTGTCTAATTCTCCTTGGCCAACACTTGGATAAATTGCCCTGTGCCAAAACATTTTCCCTTCAAGTATTACAAAGAAAGTAAAGGTGTTAGTCCCGATTGTTTTAAACAGGAGTCTTAAGCTTTACAGGTACTTGTAGTTAGTGTTTGTGCACATGTGCAGTGGTGACCTATCGGCTGTGTGCCTCTAAATGATATGTCAATGTAGCAGACAAGACACATCAATGACTACACATGATGAATTTGTATAAGCACTTCCCTGCAAACTAACTAGCAGAATAAAACTTGAAAAGTCTTTAAAACTGTGATAATTGCTGCTGTGCAAATATGACTCTTGGAAAAGATATGACACAGTGATAAGAATGATTTTTACAACAAAAGGTGGAACAAGAAATAATGAAATTCTTGTAGATTTTGTCTTACTCTGAACCCTATTTTCTCACTTTTATCAAGTTTTCCTTGGAATATCCATCACATCACTTTGAAGAGTACTAACTGTCACAAATGATTTTATTGTGTAGCAATGGAAGCGTGGGCATCTTAATGGCTGTTACTTCAATGTTCGACAGTAGGACATGCATCATCGTGTAATTGATTGGGAAATAACTCATGCAAAAATTGTTGACCAAACCATTGCCAAGCTCAGACATAGTGCACATGATTTTCCAACATGGTTCTATTGGGAACTGAGAAGAGAGCATTTGTGGGGAAAGGGTATCATGAAATGGATAGTTTCATTACTGTAAGAAAGTCCCTCACTGTCGACTGACCGCGCAATAGTTGGCGCGCCCTCAGTAGTTTGCTCATTCTCTCAACGTACGTTCCGTCCTAAAATCAGGTTTACCAAGCACATTTCCAATCAGAATACCTCAAAATTTGCCCTTACCGAGTGTTACTGACAATTGTGAGTACAGCCATATGTTCTTTAGTGTTATAGTATAAGATCATATACATGTAGTATCTAGCCAACTTATAGTGACTGCTCGAGTACCTCCTCCTGCATGGGTAGAGGATGGTCTGGAATGGAGCTACATGTACTGCAATGCCCTACAGCGTACAATCAGTCCATGTGTATGGCCCTCCTGCTAACATCATACACGTAACAGGAGGTGAATGGGGTATGGGTTTCCCAACAAGGCTCTCTACAAATCTCTATTTCAGGAAACCCTTTGAAATAGGCCCCTACTGATGAAACGGCCAGGACATCATGGGCAAAAATGTGTCATCTACACCAGAAGGCCAGTCAATGTACCAAACTTAATAGTGTGTAGGACCATGAAAGAAGGACATCCAAGGATACGGAGTAGCGCTGAAGGGAGACTAACTACTTGTTCTTTTGGTCTTGGCAAAGAGGGTATTATTGGCACATCTCTGCAGAACTCATTGCAAAACCCATGCTATAGGTAGCCTGAGGTAAAAACGTTATGTAACATATAGCCATGTAGATAACCGCCAACATACATGTATACATATGGAAGATGTTGGCATTGTGCATGTATATAAGTCTAGCGTCGGGGATTGTGATAGGGTGGCAAGGTTTAACGTGGTAATGATAGAAGCACAATACCTCTCGGCTTTGATTCCAGGCCTACTATTAGTACAGAGAGAATATAGAGGGCCTTGAATTGTAGCCTACGGGGAAGATGAAAGGGGAGCCGTGGGACTACTATCCAATAAAAGTTTGTGTAGAGGATATCATCAACAGACCACTATACAGGAATGAAGCAGCTATTGGGAGAAACAAAGGGCGGCAGTACCAAAATGTTTGCCAGGAAGAGGATACATGGAGTAAGTGTTGTCTAAGGGATAGCACTTAATTTGGTTAGCACATAGGTAGCTGACACTGTGTACTCCAGTATAAATGTTACCCTAGGAATCTGGGTAAATTAATTCTCAGGGTTAGGAAGGTCTAATGGTCTGAATAGCAGATGTTTTCTCTGGCCAATATTGACAAAATCGCTCAGAGTCTGGTGCAGAATAACAGAAACTAGATCCATGTCAAGGCAGAGCCAGCAATATGCAGACGGTCCGGTACCAAGGGACTGGCTCAGTCACATTGAAACTTTCGGTTGGAGCAGACGTCTGTGAAGGAGTTATTGGCTTCGAGACATGAGTTACCTTCAGGTTAATCCCAAAGCCTAGGGCTCAACGGAACATCCAACTTTCAGGAGGTTGAGGCGTAGTGAGAGTGTACCTCCATAGTGATTTATCTGATGAAACTACAATGTACTAACCCACATACTCCCATGCGCCTGAAATTTGAAAGTTTGGGAACAGGTGTGCCCCATGAATCTCAGGAAGTGCCAGTAGAAACCAGTAGTTGAGGACCCATCTGTCAATTTCAACTGTTAACAAAGTGTGTCTTGATGGCAAGAGGTATCAGGTTTTGAGGATTTGCCCTTGGGCCGAAGATATGTATGTGGGATAAAAAGCCCAGGTGAGAGGATGGTAGTGGGAAGTAAAACAACATTCCAACGAAGTCTGGATTGATCCTTACAGGAATCAAGTTGCAGTAACAGGAACTCATGCACATGTAACAATTACCTGTATCAACAAAGGTAGGAATCCAATAATGACCCCAGTCGAACGAAGGGCAGCCATGACTGCGGGAGGGTAGCCAAATGAGCAGACAAAGGTATTCATCTGTGTAAATATCTGCTGGACCATTGCTACCATAGATAGTGCCTAAAAATTTGGGTATTGAAGGCACCTGCAAAGCAATGTAACCATTGGCATCAGACCCAAGGGGATTGGGGCAGTCTCGAAGTCCCCTCTGGTCTACATCCAAAGCCCTGCCCATGACAAAAAAATCAGCGAGAGGACCAGAACTGTTCCATTGTATCTCCTCCAAATCCTTCATGACCACCAGTAAGTTAGCAATGGGTTTCTCCTGTCTAGAGATGGGTAGAATTAAATCAACCCTTTTCACATGGAAATTACTCCACACCCATTCCTGAGCAAAGTCTTATGTGTAGGTGTGGATAGACAGGAAAACGTCATGAATTATCAAGAAAGAGGTGAACTTTTTTTTTTTACCCAAGTATGACTGCAGTGAGGGAGGGCTGGACAACAAGGAAAAATGCTACCAAGCAAAAGGAAGGTACTCTGATAAGCTATGAACAATGAAAACGTCGCAGAAAACTCTGTGTGGCCCAGATATATGAAGGAGGTTAGGCTACATTTATTGAGCAAGGAGTCATTGCTGGAAGACTAGTTAAGTCAGATGGAAGTTGCACCTCGTGAAAATGAATAGCTCCAGCACATGCGAATGTCGGTGAAACATTTCTGGAGAATGAAAAAATGAGTGATGTCTTATACATAGGATAGCCGTAAACGTTTCTTTATTAAAGGACTCCAGCTGTTTTACCGCATGCATGGGGACTTAAAGTCTGAGTGCATGCACCTGGCCAGAGACAGAAAAAGCTTAGTCTCAAATGGTGCATCTGTGAGAAATAAAAGTATTAGTCACCCAATGCTGGTCCTGCCTGACAGGGACAAATTTAACCCCAACATACCCACAGTCAGGACCACCGGACATAAAAAATCCATTCCGATGTTCCAAATTATTTTCTGATGAAGGGAAGTATAAATTTGAAAATTGGACAAAAC